CTTGCAGTGAGCTGAGATCCAGCCACTGCACTCCAGCCTGGGCGACAGAGCGAGACTCCGTCTCAAAAAAAAAAAAAAAAAAAAAAAATTTTTTTTAAATGAAAAAAACAAGAATGTTCTCTACAACATGGTAAAAGGCAAAGAAACTTATAAAGTCAGAAGACAAACATTTTACATGAACAGGCTGAACACAGATGACACTGTTTCTCTTTTGAATGTAGTAAAAATTAAAAGTAAAAATTAAAATAAAATTTAAAGCTTGGTAACTACAACAATATATTTTGTAATAAATATTCTTGATGTTGAAATATGAGCTTTATTCCTACATAACTGGATGTAATCAGCTAGACTACATTCTGCAGCCTATGATTTGGCCTCTTGGAATAAACTGAATAACCTGGTCTAATCAGATTAATTCAGATTTATTGTCTTCTTCAGTGCATCTGCCAGGCATCAACAAAATATGAAACAACATGGAAAAGATAAACATATAATGGAAAAAGCTGTTACAGTTAGTATACTTAGAATCAAAACTGTCTTATGCTCTGTGTGATCAAAATGAAGAAAAAAATCAAAGACATTTCTAACAGCCATTATTTTGCCTTAGATTTGATAATGTATCTTTAACCCTTTTTTCTTAGTAATGCCAGCTTTTAAGAAAAAAATTTTTTTTTAAATTTTTCAGGGATGGGGTCTCACTGTGTAGGCCAGGCTGGAGTGCAATGGCACAATCACTGTTCACTGTAGCCTCAAACTCTTGGGCTCAAGCAATCCTCCCATCTCAGCCTCTTGAGTAGCTGAGACCACAGCCATGCACCACCATGACTGGCTAATTTTTGTTTATTTTTTATTTTTTAGAGATTGGGTATCACTTTGTGGCCCAGGCTGATCTCATACTTCTGGCTTCAAGTGATCCAAACGCCTTGTTTTCCCACAGTGCTGGGATTACAGACAGGTATGAGCCACCACACCCATTCAAGAAAATTCTTCTAAATAGAGATATAAACTTGAATAAAGGATCAAAATAGTCAGATTATGGCAATTTTAAGTATTTACAAAGTAAATTGTACACCTAAATTACATGTACAAAGGATTTTATATCTTACTTTCCAACTGCCTTAAAGAGGAAGAAAAGAGAAGTTACCTGAAGTTGATGGACAAATCCAGCATTAGGATTAATACAAAATCTTCTTTCTTGAACATAAGCAAAAGCATCTCTGAAAACAGAAAAGAATATTAATGTGACAGCATTACTTAATGAAGAGTCTAATAACACCTACCTTGGGAAACTACTATGAATAGGAGATAAGTGTAAAGTGGCCAGGTGCAGTGGCTCATGCCTGTAACCCCAATCCTTTGGGAGGCCAACACAGGAGGACTGCTTGAAGCCAGGACTTTGAGACCAGCCTGGGCAATGTAGTCAGACCTCATCTCTACAAAAAACTTAAAAATTAGCCAGGCACAGTGATGTGGTATAGTCCCAGCTTCTTGAGAGGCTGAGGTGGGAGGACTGCTTGAGCCCTGGAGTCTAAGGCTACAGTGAGCTATGATTGTGCCACTATACTCCAGCCTGAGAAACAGAGGAAGACCCTGTCTCTAAAATAAATATATAAAATGTAAGCATTTTGTGCATGTTAAATGCTTATAAAATGTAAGCATTTTGTACAAGTTCAAGCTCAAAATATTATCACTAGTTAAAGAGGTTTACTTTTGTTGTTATGAGGCTTAAATTAGATAAAAGTGCCTATAATAGTACTGAGCTCACAGCAAAGACCCAATAAATACAAGTTATTTCCAACATTAATGTTCTGACAAAATTCCAAATAAAAAGAATATATACAACATAAAGTCCATCAATACATGTTCAATCTTTTTGCAATTAAATATTTGTATTCCGGCCGGGCGCAGTGGCTCACCCCTGTAATACCAGCACTTTGGGAGGCTGAGGTTGGCGGATCACAAGGTCAAGAGATCGAGACCATCCTGGCCAACATGGTGAAACTCTGTCTCTAATAAAAATACAAAAATTAGCTGGGCATGGTGGCGTGCACCTGTAGTCCCAGCTACTAGGGAGGCTGAGGAAGGAGAATTGCTTGAATCTGGGAGGCGGAGGTTGCAGTGAGTCGAGGTCATGCCACTGCACTCCAGCCCGCCAATAGAGCAAGACTCTGTCTCAAAATAAATAAATAAATAAATAAAGAAATAAATATTTGTATTCAACTAATATTCTTTTAAGAATAGATATTTTTAAGCAAAGTTTTCCGTTCTAATTTAAATATAAAAGGGACTGAAATAGAAAAAGGTGTCAATGATTACTACAAGATTTCTAATTTGTAGAACAAGAAAAACTGAGAAAGGAAATACTGTACACTGGCCAGGCTTTTGCTTTGTCTTGGGGTAAGAAGCTCATGACCACACCCATCTTTTAAAAAATCTATATAGAATGCTTGGAAAAGATAATTTTTGATAAGAAAGACTACTCTGAATTACAAACAGATGCTGCAAACAATTCCTAGGTAATTTTTCATCCAACTATTGTTAAAGTACAACATGACAAATTAGCCTTTTAAATAAGGCAAGCACTAACATTTGTGTTCAGGAGTTTTTATACTCAGACCAACCAATTCTCTTGTCGTAAGTAGTTTTTCATAGGATTTCCATATTAGCCTATGCATATCTATACAACTAGATAAATTAGGTTGAGACTAACCATAGAATAAGGGCCTGCCTAATCAAACATGACTACATGAAAAATAATCAGGGGAATAAGAACTTCAAACTTCCAAACCATTCCCATTAAGCTTCATTTTAATGAGAATTTAAACTGTGGCTAGGTTTTAGGGTATTTTCTTACCTGTACTTCATTCCAAATGTTTCCATAATGTACGCAATAACAAAGGCTGCACTGAAGAGGGGGAAATAATTTTAGAAAACAACCAGAAAATACAACTCATTAATTAAATGTTACAGAAAGAAAGATTATTTTTAACTTCATACCTTCTGGAGATTCCTGCATTTCCATGCACAAGAACTTTTCCTGAAAAACATGAATTCGTTATTCTAATAGAAAAACACCTGAGTCAGCAGCTGAAATATATTGAAACCACAGTAAAGTAACTCCTTCCTTATATACTATAATCGCTTGGATGTTTATTTTCAAATCTTTACAATTTGTTATTATTAGCTGTGTAGAGAATATACCAGACTCTTATTAAAGAAATTGAAAGCTCACAGAGAATTTGAAAACAGTCTACAGGGATACTCCAGAAAGCCTATCCAAATGAAACAAGTAATTGGGAAAATAAAAATTTGGGAGTAAGCTACTACATGTAATTATAACTTCCATATCCTGCATTTAAGACAAATACCAACTAAAAAATTAACAAATAATCAAAATATAAACATTAGTTAAGGAAAAGAAATATTATTTACCTCCTGTTTGTAAGCTCCCATCAATAAATTCCTTAGTCTGGAGGCAAAAGACATGTGGATTAATGTAAGCATAAAATACATGCATATAATGAAATAAAATGAAACCTATTGAAAACAATTTCCTAATTTATAGGTATAAAAATTATCTTAATTCACAAATTTCCAAAATGCTACAAATAATTGTCTTGTAGTAGACAAGTCCAAAAAAAAAAAAAAAAAAAGCCAAAATTTAATTTGAATCTAATATAATCACAATATGATTCCTCAAATTTCTGGAGATCATAAAAAAATTTTCTACAAATAATTCATTTTTTTAAAAAACACAATCACATAATTTTCAGTCACAGCAAAGTAAAAGTAGTAAGCTTTACAAGCACAATTAAAGGGGCTGGGTGTGATGGCTCACACCTGAAATCCCACTACTTTGGGAGGCTGGGGCGGGCGGATCACCTGAGGTCAGGAATTCGAGACCAGCCTGATCAACACAGAGAAACCCCGTCTCTACCAAAAATACAAAATTAGTTGGGCATGGTGGCTCATGCCTGTAATCCCAGCCACTTGGGAGGCTGAGGCAGAAAAATCACTTGAACCCAGGAGGCGGAGGTTGTGATGAGCCAAGATTGTGCCATTGCACTCCAGCCTGGGCAACAAGAGTGAAACTCTGTCTCAAAAAAAACAAGAAAAGAAAAGAAAAGAAAAAAGAAGCAGCACAACTAAGAAGTCAAATCATAAAAAAATTTAAATGTTATTTTTTAAAATACTGGTACCTACCATAGGGAAAAAACGTATTATATTTTCAACTGGATTATCTGCAATATCCAGGACTAAATATCTGAAAATAGAGTATTTTGTGATAAGCACACTTTAAGTAAAATGCTTAATGTATTTTAAAAAAATAACGATTATTTCTTGGTAACCATGACAAGAATGCAAAACAACCTTCAAAGTATCATATTCCCAAGAACTGTGTGGTAGATTTTACATTGCTTGAAGGCATTAAAACTTGAAACACCATGTTAACATCTCTGATATTTTAGTATTTAAAAAAATCCATCAGCCTGGGCACACTGGCTTATGCCTGTAATCCCAGCATTTTGGGAGGCCAAGGTGGGAGGATCACTTGAGCCTAGCCTGAGCAACAGAGGGAGACTCCATCTCTAAAAAATATTAAAAAATCGGCTGGGTGTGGTGGTGTGCACCTATAGTCCCAGCTACTCAGGGGGCTGAGGTAGAATTGTGTGAGCCTGGAAGTCAAGGATATAGTAAGCTATGATTGGGCCACTGCACTCCAGCCTGGGCAACAAAGCAAGATTCTTATCTCAAAAATAAATACATATTTTATTGGCATATAATGAACCATCTGGCTAAAACAGAAAAATCACAAGCAGGAAGATACATTCCTCTAGATCAGAGTGGACCTAGAAATAAAGACAAAGGTACCTGTAATCGTTATGTTATTCTTTTATTTCTATCAATTTCTCTAAGACCAGAAGATTGTTCTCTAAGTGGTCCTGTGACCCCTGCTCATAAAACTACAGAGGACATTTCAGAGGAAGTCCAAAGTCTAAAAGAGAAGGAACAAATAAAAACAGAAGGCATGGTCTATGGAACCATGACTCAAACATCCACCATTTGAACTAATTTTTAGTAAAGCAAAAACAAAAAACAAAAAACAAAAAACCAGCTGAGAGCACCTGTCTTGAATTTTACACTTTACAAAATACTTAAAAATAAGGCATTTTTAATATGTTAGCTTGTTTTATTTTGTAAAAAACTTCCACTTCTAAGCATTCCTAAGACCACTGTTTATTAACACAACTATAGGCAATTAGCTAAGTTATTAAACTAGTTTTAAGGACAATTTTGCATTAAAAATTACAGTTCTTCAATGATCAGTTACCCGGTAACAACTTCAAAGAATTCAGGACTTTAATACAGAGAAGCCGAGGCCAAGCATGGTGGCTCATGCTTGTAATCCCAGCACTTTGGGAGGCCGAGGCAGGTGGATTGCCTGAGGTCAGGAGTTCAAGACCAGCCTGGCTAATAAGGTGAAACCCCGTCTCTACTAAAAATATAAAAATTAGCCAGGTGTGGTGGTGCACACCTGTAATCCCAGCTACTCAGGAGGCTGAGGCAGAGAATCACTTAAACTGGGAGGCGGAGGCTGCAGTGGGCTGAAATCGTGCCATTGCACTCCAGCCTGGGTGAAAGAACAAGACTCTGTCTCAAACAAAACAAAACAAAACAAAACACCGCAGAAGCTAAACCCCAGGATCTGAGGAAAATCCAAGATTTAACCCACAAGGATTTCAACAATGACTGTAGCCTGAAGTGATTGGAAATTCCAGTTATATAAAACAATGCTTCAGAGGAAAAATGTTAACTCAGAATGAAATTAAATATTTTAATGCATAACATATTCTGTGTCAAGAACTACTAGTAGAACTACCAATCTCTAAAAACTAGTACTGTAAAAGTTTAAGGAGAAATGGTTCTTCCATTAGGACAAAGAACCTGCACCAACAACATTATAATTTGAACAAAAATTCAGTACACATTAGAAACGAACAGTATGATTTTTTGGTTGTTTTTTTCTTAAGATTAGTTTCACCTTATATAGTTCGATATTTTAAAACACAACATTCTCATTTTCTTTAATAATTCTATGCGTATACACATAAATACACATACACAACAGAAAAAGACTTTGGGAGGCCGAGGCAGGCAGATCACCAGGTCAGGAGTTCAAGACAAGCCTGGCCAACATGGTGAAATGCCATCTGTACTAAAAATACAAAAATTAGGCCGGGTGTGGTGGCTCACGCCTGTAATCCCAGCAGTTTGGGAGGCTGAGGTGGGTGGATCAAGAGGTCAGGAGCTCAAGAGCAGCCTGGCCAAGATGGTGAAACCCCGTCTCTACTAAAAACACAAAAAAAATTAGCCCGGAGTGGTGGTGGGCGCCTGTAATCTCAGCTACTTGGGCGGCTGAGGCCGAGAATTGCTTAAACCTGGGAGGCGGAGGATGCAGTGAGCCGAGATCACGCCATTGCATTCCAGCCTGCGCAAAAGAGCAAAACTCCATCCAAAACACAACAAAAAAAAATTAGCCCGGAGTGGTGGTGTGCGCCTATAATCCCAGCTACTCAGGCGGCTGAGGCAGGAGAATTGCTTGAACCCAGGAGGTGGAAGTTGCAGTGAGCCAAGATCATGCCGCTGCACTCCAGCCTGGGTGACAGAGTGAGACTCCATTTCAAAAAAAAAAAAAACATGAAAGAAAAATATGTCCCTCTACCATCACAGGCTCTGAATTTCCCTTCTTAGAAGCAATCACTATGAAGTCTCTAGCCTGTTGGTCCAGAAATTTTCTATGCATATACAAGAATAAATATACTTAATGTAGTATATATATATTTACTCAACACATTGCGAATATATACACCTTGTTCCACACTCTGCTTTGTTCATGCAATGCATTATTTTGGAGATCATCCCAAATCCAAACACATAGATATATCACATTCTTTTTCATGGTTACATAGTATTCTATTATATGTTCAAACAATGTATTTTAGAGTATGTATACAGATATTTATAGATTGGTTTCATTTTAAAAATAAAGCAAAGCATTAAATTTTTTTTTTTTTTGAGACAGAGTCTCACTCTGTCGCCAGGCTGGAGTGCAGTGGGACAATCTCGGCTCACTGAAATCTCTGCCTCCCGGGTTCAAGTGATTCTCCTGCCTCAGCCTCCTGAGTAAATGGGACTACAGGCGCACGCCACTATGCCCAGAAAATTTTTGTATTTTTAGTAGAGACAGGGTCTCTCTATGTTGGCCAGGATATTCTTAATCTCTTGACCTCATGATCCACCCCCCTCAGCCTCCCAAAGTACTGGGATTATAGGCGTAAGACACTGCACCCAGCTTTTTTTTTTTTTTTTTTTTTTTTGAGATGGAGTCTTGCTCTATCGCCCAGGCTGGAGTGCAGTGGCATGATCTCGGCTCACTGTAACCTCTGCCTCCCGGGTTCAAGCAATTCTCCTGCCTCAGTCTCCTGAGTTGCTGGGACTACAGGAATGTGCCACCACGCTAAGGTAATTTTCGCTTTAGTAGACATGGGGTTTCACCACATTGGCCAGGCTGGTCTTGAACTCCTGACCTCAGGTGATCTGCCCACCTCGGCCTCCCAAAATGCTGGGATTACAGGCATGAGCCACTGCGCTGGCCTAAAATATTTTTAACATATATACTTTTACATAGATATTGAAGGAAGAAGCTGCCTCCTCAGAGAGGAGCATGGTGGTTTGGGTTTAGAGGAGAAAAAGTAGAGTTTTTGTACCAGGTGTAACATACTCTATTTTAAAAACGAAGTTAAAAAATAAAGAACATTAAAAACCATTACATGCTCAACTGAACTTGTAAGATAAATAAGAACATCAAATGAGATGCCACTTTTACTCCATTAGACTTTGAGACTCTCCAAAATGTTTCATAATTCCATCTTGGAGAGATACCAAGGGAAGAGTCACTCTCATATACTTGGCAGTGGGAATGTAAACTGATACAATGCACTGGAAAACAATCTGCAACATCTATCAAAATTTAAAATGTTCATACTCATATCCAGCAATTCTACAAATTTGCCCTATCAATATGCTCACGTATAAATTGAGTAATATGTACAATGATAGTCACTATATGCTATACATATTAGTATAAGGCCAGAAACAATCTAAATGTCCAACAGACTGAATAAATTTTAGTATAGCCATACAGTGGATTATAATGCAACTTAAAAAGAATAAGCAGTTTGATATACATACTGATATAAACCAATCTCCAAAAAATACAAAGTAAAAAAAAAAACAAAGGCAATGTAAAAAACAAAAGTTTATCTATAAGAATATGCTCATAAATTTAACCTAACACTGGAAAGCTACCCAATAAAGAGGTAATAGTAGATGTTGTTTCCCTGTACCTATCCCTAGATACCCAATTCCTTTATCCCTCAAGAGATAAAATAATGTATACTAAAATCTACTTTTCAGTATATGTTATTTTTAAATTCTTTTTAATTTTTACTTTTCAAGAAACTTCTTGACAATATACACTATTTTGAACCTTTAGAATTCTGCATTATGGGCATAAATTATTTAAGTATTTTAAGTAAAATTTATTGTAAAAAACTATGTACTGTATGACCCATTTTTCATATACAGAAAAAACTGATGGTACAAAACCTGAAATGAAACTTCAATACGTGTTTTACAAATCATAGCAATAATTCTTACCTAAATAACTGCTGAAAGTTTGGTTTAATAAAGTTTGCTTCAATATTTTGTCGTATGCATATTATATGGGTTATTCCATGTTTCTGTAGTATAGGTAGCTGTAAAAAAAAGCAGGGGGAGGACAGGGAAGATGAATATTTTAAAATATCAAACATCCTCTTACTATATAACACAGATGTTTGAAAATACACAGAACCCAAGTCTCTGCTTAAGTCCAGAGGATTAAAGCTAATTTTATAATATACCTGAAGTGGGTAGCAAGATATTTCAATGATTCAAGACTAACACACTAATGTCCTCAAAAAGTTAACAGGGATATTTCATACCTATAATTTTAGAGCTTAATGGAGCCTTTATGCAAGATGTTTGGCATAGCACCTGGGACACACAGCAAGTGTTTAATAAATGGTAGTTATATATATTGACTGCAATCTTTATTCTTTAGAGGGGACTACTAAGACATAAAACAGTTACATTACCAAATACTTGGACATCACTGACCTAGTTAACAGCAGTACCTGAGCCCAAATCTCTAGACAACTCCTTGCTTCTCCCAGTATACTTTAAGAGTCAGAATTAATTTACATACTTCACATAATCTAGTTAACCTTTCACCATTTAAAAATTTTCCTGAAGTTAAAAATGGCAACTTCAATGGCGTGTTATTATATTCCATACAGGTTGAGTATCCCTTATCCAAAATGCTGGTCCCAAGATAGGACAATAAGTGTTTCAGATTTCAGATTTTGAAATATTTGCCTTGGCTGGGCACAGTGGCTCATGCCTATAATCCCAGCACTTTGGGAGGCTGAGGCAGGCGGATCACGAGGTCAGGAGATCAAGACCATCCTGGCTAACACAGTGAAACCCCGTCTCCACTAAATATACAAAAAATTAGCCGGGCGAGGTGGTGGGCGCCTGTAGTCCCAGCTACTCGAGAGGCTGAGGCAGGAGAATGGCATGAACCCAGGAGGCGGAGCTTGCAGTGAGCCAAGATCGCGCCACTGCACTCCAGCCTGGGCGACAGAGCGAGACTTTGTCTCAAAAAAAAAAAAAAAAAAAAAAGAAATATTTGCCTATACATACTGAGATGTCTTGGGGATAGGATCCAAGTTTAAACACAAAATTCATTTATGCTTCACACACACCACATACACATACTCTGAAGGTAATTTCATACAGTCATTTGGTGCATGAAACAAAATTTTGACTGTGACCCATTACATGGTGACAGGTGTGGAGTTCACTTGTGCTTTCATGCTGAAACTCAAAAAGTTTCACTTTGGAGCATTTCAGATTTTTCAGATTAGGGATACTCAACCTGTAGTGCTTTTGGCTCCATACTTAAAAGCAATTTAACATGACAATTCTAGAAATTACCAAAAAATAAATTTTCATTTGCAAGTGATTATAAGTTTAAGTGAGTTTACAGATGTTATTTTATTACCTAGAGCATTAAGTTCCTTGACAGAAAAGATTTGTATTTGTTCACTGATACACAGTATGTGTAAAGTGTATAATACAATCACTTAAGTATCAAGTATGTATAACTAGTTAAGTGTTCAATAATTATCTGTTCAATAAATGAACTAACAAATCACAATGGCAAGAGAATCAGATAACCTTGAATTTCCTGACACATTCAGTTTAAAATCCTATATATTTAATTCCCATTTCCCGCATTTTAAATAGTACAAAACAGTAGCACTAATAATTCATGAGCAAAGTAAAAAAATAATAATTTATGTGTTATGAACTAAATGTTTGCATCACCTCAAATTCATATGGTGAAATCCTTACCCCCAAGATATGATGGTGGAGTCTCTGGGAGGTAATCAGTTTTAAATTGAGGTCAAGAGGGTAGAAACCTCCATGACAGGATCTGTACCCTTATAAGAGGCAAGAACTCGTTCTCTTGGCTGTGTGAGGATACAGCAAGAAGGGAGGGATCTGCAAACCAGCAAGAGGGTCCTCACCAGAGCCGGACCATGACTGTGGACTTCCCAGCCTCCAGAACTCAGAGAAATAATTGTCTGTTGTTTAAGCCACCCTGTCTATGGTATTTTGTTTGAGCAGCCTGAGCTAAGACAATATAATTTTCAAGTTTTAAGTTTTAATTTCTGCAGCAAGTTTTATGTCAGCATAGATTAGAATTCAATTATCTTTGTATTTGAGTATAACCTGAGTTAGGGAAAGTGAGATAAGCATTTGGTAAGCTTAATAATTAACCAATGTTCTATATTGAGACTTGTGCCAACTCCACAACAAATTCAAAATTAAGTCCTTCGTGTATACTTGATGACCTATGGAGTTTTCTTATCTACTTTATGAATGTGAGAAAGTACAAGATGATGCACATAAATATGTATAAATATGCTTAAACAAGCTTTGAAGGCCCATTAGACTACTACTAAGTAAAAATAAACTATCAAAATAGAGCCCTAACGTAACAGCGAATAGAATTATTTTGTACTTTTCAAAGGCAGTTGCTTTTGCACCAACCTAATATAAAGCAAATTATGACCTTACCTCACATTTAAAAACAACAGAAAAACTTTACAAAAAGAAATAGTTTACTAGTTACAAAGGCCCTAAATTTGACTCTTTTATTTAAACTGTATTTGAATTTAATAAAAGATATACTTAAGTAAATGTGGCCAGGCATGGTGGGTCATGCCTGTAATCCCAGTGCTTTGGGAGGCTAAGGTGGGAGGATCACTTCAAGCCAGGAATTTGAGACTAGCCTGGGTAACACAGCCAAACCCCACCTCTAGAAAAAATTTGAGAATTAAGCCAGGCATGGTGGTGTATGCCTGTAGTCCTAGCTACTTGGGAGGCTGGGGCAGGAAGACAGCTTGAGCCCAGGAGTTTGAGGTTACAGTGAGCTATGATAGTACACCACTGTATTCCAGCCTGGATAACAGAGCGAGACCCCATTCCTCTCTCACAAAATAATAACAACAATAAATGAGTGTTTAAAAAGGAGTTTATCCATTTAGGTTTATCTCCATTATTATTTTTTGTTGTTGTTTTCAGATAATGCTATGAAAACAAATATGGGCTATATTATGGTTACCTAGGGTGGGAAATATAAAATACTGCCATAGAGGCTTTTTCTCTGTCTAATAAGACCATGGTGACATTTCAAGAGAAGAAGTTTTGAAGAATTAGACCTTTTTTGGTGTGTGTTTTTGTTTCGTTTTGAGACAAAGTCTCACTCCGTCAACCAGGCTGGAGTACAGTGGTGCCATGTTGGCTCACTGCAACCTCTACCTCCCAGGTTCAAGCAATTCTCGTGCCTCAGCCTCGCAAGTAGCTGAGATTACAGACACGTACCACCATAATCAGCTAATTTATGTATTTTTAGTAGAGACGGGGTTTTGCCATGTTGGCCAGGCTGGTCTCAAACTCCTGGCCTCATGTAATCTGCCTGCCTCAGCCTCCCATTGAGGAGACAGATCTTTAAACAAATACTTTAATGTGATAAATACTGTATGTATATTTATAAAGTACAATGGAAATTTTAAAAATGAAAATTATCTAAAACGATCTGGAAGACTAGTACTTGGTGAATAGCAAATTATATGGACAATAACCTTGTTTACATCAGTCTTTTACAAAATAAATTATAGCTATGTCTATAGTTACCTGCCCTGTCCTTTCCCTAGTACTTACTTTTACTAACTCCCTATCTTTCCAACTAAGCAGAAAGTCATCAGGATGTCCAGGTTTACTCTTACCCATGTTTCAGCAGTCAAAAAAACCTTCAAGTTTCAAAATCAATGACCTTTTAAAATCGGTTAAATTCCTAAGAACATCATTTTAAATTACAGAGATATCAAACACAATTTAAGTATACTGACTTCTGAACAGGCAAAGTATTGGGGAAAGACATTTGTGGTACGTTTCATGTTGTAACTCAAAGAGAATTAGTAGCACTGAATCTTTTAGAAGTGGCAAGAACATATTAAAATGAGATCTACCTATTTTAACTGCAACTGAGTAAGTCCATTAAAGTTTGACTATGTAGAATATTTATAAAGATTGAATATCCCTTATCTAAAATGCCGGGGACCAGAAGTATTTCAGAGTTTGTATTTTTCTGTTTGTTTTGCATATTTGCATTATACTTATAATTGAGCATTCCTAATCCAAAAATCCAAAATCTGAAATACTGCAATGAGGATTTCCTTCGAGTGACATACTGGTGCTCAAAAAGTTTCAAATTTCAGATCAGGGATACCAACCAGCCCTCTAAAGTCTGGCTGGCAAAACAACTAAGGTGAATCACTTTCAGTTAACATACACAGTCTTACCCTTGATAAGGAAGGTTTAACTAAACATAGAAATTCCTTATTTTGGGCTTTAAGTATACCTCATATTGTTCTGAAGCTATGATTAGCAATTACAGATGTCTAGTATTTTAGAGAGTAAATAAGTTATTAAAGGTCAGTTATCTGGTAAATCTTTCAAACATACAAATTTCATGAGGAAAAAACAAAAACTATGTGATTTGTGGTGAAACACTTGAGAACTACTGGTCTAGTAAAATAAGGAAAGAGGAAGGTACTCCAAAGTGACAATCACTGTTAACAGACAGTACTTGTGGATGCTCCCTAAAATAAAACTCTTTATTGCCAAAAAACTTACCCAAGAAAAGTTGGTTAATAAAAGTCTCTCTTGGTGAATCTAACAAAGTTCATACCTTGCTTTTCATAGCAGATGAGTATGGGCCTAAGAACAATCCAGGTAAAATTTCCTGGAAAAAAAAAAATTGAGGTATTTACCATCAGCAATTTAAATCTATAAGACTATGTACCATATAACTGAATTTGTAGGGTGTTTTCATAGTTGTTAAAACAATTTGCTTAAACGTTTGTTATTCAGGGAGCATTTCCTATCCATGATGAGCAAATGATTGGGTAGAGAAATGCAGGCATGCTTTATAATATTGAATAAGACACTCAAGTTTTATTTAAACAGCTTTACTTTATATCAACAGCTCTGAAAAGTTGGACATGTGAACTTATAGAGCTTTTTATAAGCAGTTTGGATGGAATTAGTACATTGTAATGTTGCGTTTTAGATTAATAAAATCTTTTAAATTTTACTTCTATTATCTGCTAAAATCTGGAAATAAAATAGGCATAAAGGAAATCATCCTTTTAAACCTACACAAAACCTTATTTGGCCAAATCAAAAGCAGCACAAGATACAATAAGATTGGAACTATTATCTATTTTTTTAATCTTTTTTTTTTTTTCTTTAAAAAACAGAGATGAAGTCTCAGTATGTTGCCCAGGCTGATAAGGAACTCCTGGGCTCAAGTGATCCTTCTGCCTCAGCCTCCCAAACTGCTGGAATTACAGACATGAACTCCTGTGCCCGACCTAAAACTATTATCTATAGTTGATAGAAGCAAATTATTACTGTAACACAAAAAGTCCAAATTCAAATATTTGCCAGTTGACAAAATTTCAACAATTTAAATATGTACCTTCCAGAAGCTGAATTCAAATTTATTCTACGTAAATTCAATATAGAAAGCTTTCAGTCTGGATATATACATCCCAGATACTAACAGTAACTTTATAGTTCAGTTCTATAAGTCATAATTATTTGTATATAAAACTGATTTCTCCCACCAGGCTTTTGTGGGCAGAAATTACATTTAGTCATCTTTGCATTCCTCATAGCACCAAACAAAATGCCTCATAGGTACTCACATATTTTTTCAAAGTGAATTTTCATTAAGAGAGAAAAGTAACAGATTTTTAGAAGTCATGGGATTCCCAGGAACAAGATACTACTTAATCCTGGGGCAAACAGACCTCACTGTAAAAAGTATGAAATGCAAAAGAAAATGAGCTGCTATGAGGGTTAGCTATCATTTAATTCATTCCAAACTGAAAGTATTCAATTTGATCTTCTAAAAGACTTAATTATGGAAGTTGATTGAAAATCGGACACAAAATGAACAATGCTTATTTGTTGTACAGTGAACTCTCCCTATCTACACAAACAGAGAAAGCAAACTGCTTTCAAAAGGAATACAAAGATAGTATCCAATTTTTCACATGAAGAAAAAGAAAGTGACTCATTGGCCAGGTGCAGTGGCTCATGCCTGTAAGCCCAGCACTTTGGGAGGCCGAGGTAGGTGATCACCTGAGGTCAGGAGTTCGAGACCAGCCTGACCAACATGGAGAAACCCTGCCTCTACTAAAAATACAAAATTAGCCAGGCGTGGTGGCGCATGCCTGTAATCCCAGCTATTCAGGAGGCTGAGGCAGGAGAATCGCTTGAACCTGGGAGGCGGGGGTTGCAGTGAGCCGAGATCGTGCCACTGCACTCCAGCCTGGGCAACAAGAGCAAAACTCAGTTTCAAAATAATAATAATAATAATAATAATAAGAGAAAGTGACTCATTAAGTACAAACACCTATTATTACATTCCTCTAATTTCCCATCTTTTTAAGATCCAAGATTAACCTTAAATATTTAAAATAATTATTTAAAATACATAATGATGAACCTACAGATCATGAATCAGCAGGTCTCAAATCCTATAAACTGAGGTTGTTACTACAATAACATGGGTTGGTTTGAACAAACAAAAGGTTGCCATACCTGCATCTCTCGTCTCATAGGGTAGGTCCACTCCTTTAAAAGGGGAGGAAAACATAAGAATAAAAGTAGATAACATTTAAAAAGTCACCCAATTAAAGGCTAAAGATGTGACATACAAGTATGTGGATTTTTTAAAGTTACATTATACTTTAAGAATATTTTATTAAAATAGCAGACTTGGTTTCACAAACATCTGAAAATTGAAGTGACAAGAAACAAAGCTTAAGGCATTCTTTAAATAACTAGGCTTCCAGAATTATTATATTACTTCATATAATGGATGAAATTGCTCATTAAACTTAAGAATAGAATAGATATTCCAGAAGATTCTCCCCAAAACTGATCTTCTAAGTCAGAGATGTCACTAGATTTTTTTGTTTCTCATGCCAACTCTAATCAACTGACAATAGATACCTAAAACACTGTGTAGTCCAAGACAGCAAGAAGAATGTCTGATCAACAAATAATACCTGAGGCCGGGCGCGGTGGCTCAAGCCTGTAATCCCAGCACTTTGGGAGGCTGAGACGGGCGGATCACGAGGTCAGGAGATCGAGACCATCCTGGCTAACA